GCTCGGTGGCACCCCTGAAAAGGACATCAAAGCTCTCTTTTCCACTTCCTCCATGTACAGGTTTGCAACAGTAGTCCAGAAGACCTATACAATTTTTTTCTTTTTGATTTTTTACCTGGATTACTGAGATGCATCAGGACAACTCAATCATGATTAATCCCTCAGGTCCATATTTAGCTTGATATTTTTCCCCACTCCTTAAAAATGACTTTAATGTTTAAAGGTGCCATAGTTAAAGACATATGTAATTTTACTTACCTAGTTTAAATCTTAAGGCAGCTAGTGGTCCCCCATCGAAGACTAATGTCAGAATGTCCGTCCCTTCTGGGCCTCCATCCAAACCTGTCCCCCACTTCAGTCCAACCAGGCCTCCAGAGCAGCGCATGTGCTGAGTCAGGTTTAACGTAGCCGCTGGAGCTACCTCCTCTGCTAGAAGTGCCATGTTTAAAGGTGCCAAGCTYACATCAAAGCACATCAGTTCCTCCTGGCCTCCTGCTAACATGGCAACAGCCCCCGCGGGGTGCCAGRCCATGTAAGTGGGTGGCACAGGGCAGGAGGCCAGCAACGAGACCCCCCGTCTCTGGTCGTGAAGAACTACGGAGGAGTCGCTCAAACCCAAGAGGAGAGCGGTCTCAGAGGGATGACGGGCACAGGAGAYAGGAGGCGAAGGCAGTGGGACGGCGCCGGCGGACAGGCGGTGCAGTCGCCCTCGTGAGCATTCGTACACACAGGTGTGAGCGCAGGAGGCCTGTCGGACCCCCCGAGGTCCTGCAGGTAACTCCACCGTCAGCATCTGGTAGTGCTGAAGCTGGCTAAAGCTGCAGTCCAGAGGGTTGCCCTCAGTCCGGACAGAACACAGAACCTGAGGTAGAAAAAGTACAAAAAGAGCGAGAACGAGACCAGTTTATAGTAAAAAAAAACAGCACTGTGCAAAACTCTCATTTCTTTATAAACTGCTGTGAAGTATCAAGACTTTCTTACACTCATAAAGCCATCGCTCTAAAGTTCTTCAAGGTTTTTCTTCAAGATAGAACATTGTCAACATTTTTATTTACTTTCTTTTTATCCAATCCTTTGAAAATAGGAGAAAAACAAGCAAATGAAGTAGAAAAAAAAAAAGAATCAGCCTGAAAAAAAAAACCTACCTATACTTTAAAAAAAAAAAAAAAAGAATCAGCCTGAAAAAAAAAACCTACCTATACTTTATATGGCATTACACAGCTAACAGTTCTTTGAAAATCACCTTGGTGGTTAAAAGACAATTATATGTTTGTAAAACTGTGCTATTTTATTTTATTTTATTTTGTAAATGAACTTAAACTGTTTATTTACAACAGTTTAATAATAATAATGGAGCAACATAAAAAAAACAATAGATTATTATAAAATTATTGATTTCTGTGATATTGTCTTTTTGTTGCATCGTCCATTTTAGCGGGAGAAGTAGTTCTGCTGAAAGGTTCTAAATTTCAGTCATGAAAATCAAAAAACGCTAACGCAATCCTATGTACTTGGTTCACAGTCAGTAAGAAAAACAACCACTATCCTTAAAAAGCAAAAATAATACAACAATACAAATAAAAACAATTAAACTTTTAATAAATAGGTTGAACATAAATACTTCCCAGGACATCACCAGATGTGTTGGAGCACTGTTTATTACAACAAACACATTTGGATCTTAATATTTTATTGTCACTTTTGTATCCTCTTTCCCATGCAACTACAATGTTATAACTGTGGCAATGTGTTATTGACCTGTTTTTAAATAAAATAAGGAGATAAAAACGATCGAGAGAGTCACTTCATGGCAACAGCTCAAAAAAATAAAATAAAAACACCCAAGAGATGCAGGAAACGGGGCCTTCCACATGGCTCATAAACACCCTGCTGTCAATCACGACAGCTAATGATAAGAGCTCCATTTTAACTCAAGGTCAGCAGCATCTCCTCCCTGAGCATGCCACGGCTTGGCACAAAGTGATAAACAACCTCTGCTGTTTACTGTGTGAGGAGCCAAGAGCTCAACATTAGAAAGTAAGAGTTAAAAAAAGCTCTTTTCATTTCTTTGTGAAGAAATGTCAAGATTATTTGACCAAAGGTGAATTCCAGGAATAAGAGYATTTTGCTCTTGGACTAAAACCTGGTGGTGGGCACAAAGACCCTACTAAGCAAACAGGCCCTGACCTGGTTGGTACTGTTGATAAAACACCCACATGGAACCAGAAACAGGAGGTGGATGACAAGAAACAACAGCCTGCGATAAACAGCAGCCCAACAGTTTTACAGCTACTAACGAAGCTTTTTTTTAAAGGATTTCACCTTACCAAAGCCTCTATCACAGCCTCACATTGACCGTGGCAGCTTTGGCTAAATGAGCCCATTTCTTTTCGTCATGTAGACAGAAAGAGGGATCGGCTGCCTGCCTGCCTTCTTTTCCTTTTGCAAAGCTGCTCGGCCCAGTTTTTTTGGCAGGCATTGCCAAAAAGGGACTTAGAGGAAGGAAGGCTTTTTTTTTTGCCTGCCCATGGTCTACAGCAGGAAAGAAGCAGATGACTGTCCTCCTGAAAGCTTTTTTTCCCCCTTCTCTATAATCCCTCAGAGCRAGCTCCTGCTGCTCCCCAGGGGGTGAGCGCTGTGTGTCAATGTGTGTGTTTATTTGAGGCAGCAGGCAAGAGGGGCTTGATTCAGGTAAAAGGTGGTTTATCTTTAGGACAGCTACAATTCTGAAGGGAAAAAACAACAACACATGCATTAGATTAACCAACATATGAACACAGAGCAGATATGAATCCTTTGAGTCCGCTCAACAGAATGCTGTCACAGTCATCGGACGACCTTCTTCGGTGCCACAAATCGTGACCCTGCCAACCACAACTCATCCTCCAAGCGTTTCATCCCATGCCTGGTGCCCACGGTGCCAGCCTGCCATCATGGCACGATCAGAGGGAAAAGGTGCAGCTGATTCAGCGGTTTGTCTGACAGCAGACGAACAAACCAAGAAAAAAAAATAAAAAAAAACCCACCCCATACAATATCAGTTTTAAGATCTACAACCAACACAACATCCATGTATGATTAGGGTTAAAAGAATATTTCAATTTTAGTAGAAATACTGATTTGACATTTTACTTAAGTCCACAACTGAAGTTCAATTAACTGCTAAAAATGTCAAGTTTAGTCTTTACTGACCAATGCATTAAAAGGTGGGTAATAGGCAGTGGTAGGCACAGTTCTCCTACAGCACTAAAGCACTAATAGGGGAACTGATTTCCTTATTAGAGCTTTAGGGCTTTTGCTAATTTTAAAATTTATTAGTGYATTAGCACTTTTTAAATTTAYAGGCTCAATTTAGAAGCACTAACTGAGRTTTATAAATGTTATTGATCAACGTTAATGTTAACAGCTGACTGTGAAGGCTGATTCATATTTTGTTCACACGTGTGTCACCTTATTCACCAGGTCACAATATATKGACAAYATATGAACACAAATACAGCTGTGGAATGTTAGTAATAAGTATTAAGARAGCAACATGGCAATATGTGACTCATATTGTCTGCTGAAGAATGTTCATGGGTTGAATGGGTTATTTCACTGCAAAAACTGTCCATCTTACCAAGTTTTAAAATCTTATATCAGCCAAAAAGTCTTTTTGATCTTAGGAAAAAAATTGTATAGGTCCTCTGGACGGGTTCTTCTTTAATGAAACGTTTCGTCTCTCTTCCAAGAGACTTCTTC